ATAGTGTGTGACGTTTCGGTAACAGCGTTGTTACCAAAATGTCACACACTATTTATTTATTTGGATTTGGTCTTATTACCTTGTGTTTATAATCTATAATCCAAATTGTGCCTTATCTATAATAAAGGATGTTTTTATAACAAGGTTCCAATGAACTTTTTTTTTAAACCCCACACACACTATTAGAATTATGAAAAAGGCATCTCCTTATCGTGCAACTGAAAGTTGCTGATGGCTTGCGCCATCTATCGGAATAAATATCAACTATTCTCGTTGATTTTTAATTATTCCAGAATTGACCAAATAGATGGCGCAAGCCATCAGCAACTTTCAGTTGCACGATAAGGAGATGCCTTTTTCATAATTTATGCACCTTATCCCAGTACAATGTCACATTTGTACTATTTTTTCACTATTAGAATTATCTCTCTTGTATAATATACATTTAAGGCACTAGTATATATATAAATAAAAAAATATATATTTTCATAATATTAATTGTGTAATATATAGTGATAAATAAAATGCATAAAAATATATATATAATATGCTAATATCATTTGTTGCAACAAAATCTTAGAAATTGATTCTATAATGCTTTTCTGTGGCCACTCACACACAATACAACTTCAAAAGGCACAAGATGAAATAAGTTGGGATATATCTATATATATATTAAAAAACGAAAGAAAAAAATAAAAGATAAAAAGATCAGGTGTTGAAATCAATATTAAAAATGGCATATCCTGACCAAGAGCACATGTGCTTTACAGAAGGCAGAGCGCCATCTGGTGGAACAGAAATCAATTAAACATTGATTTAGCCTTTTCCCTGATATTTGGCCAACCCAATTTCTTGATAAATCAAGAAAAGCCATCCACGAACACGTTTCGCGCTTTTTCAAGATTTCATTGATTTATCAAGAAATTGGGTTGGCCAAATATCAGGGAACAAGCTAAATGAATGTTTAATTGATTTCTGTTCCACCAGATGGCGCTCTGCCTTCTGTAAAGCACATGTGCTCCTGGTCAGGATATGCCATTTTTAATATATAGATATATATATATATATATATATATATATATATATATATATCTACGTATATATAACACACACAAACCCCTTTAAAACATTCCATGACTCAAAGGTATCAGAGTTACAGTTCACTGCTACAGTGAAAGTTTTTATTTTATATCTAGGAATTACATAATACAAATATGCGAAAATACAAAGCAAAACACTCATATGGATACATATTTAATAATAAAGATATAATATAGATAAATATATGATTATATATAAAGTTTAACACACACATTTGACCACCTCACATAAAGATATTCTATGTATAATATATTTTGCCCGCCTATATTTAGGTTGTTAAAATCTTCATAAAAGTACAACCTGTACCTGTAAGCAAGAGCTTTGCCATTTACTACTATAAATATGTATATATACTTATATATATAATATTTTACACAAATAAATTTACTGGAAATGCGTGTCTTTTAAATATCATCAAATATTATCTCTATAGACCTTACTGCAACGATATGAGTTATTGAATGAGACGGCTTGGCTCATCAGAGATAGTATTAGAGTAGTATGAGATAGTATAAAGTAGAGATAATATTTGATGATATTTAAAAGAAACGCATTGCCAGTAAATTTATTTGTGTAAAATATTAACGATAGATGGCAATTAAATTTATAAACTTATATATATATATATTAGATAATAAATGGCATATATTGGATTTAATAAAATATTTATTTTGCCAATATATGCCATTTATTATCTAATGAATTAAGTATGGATTGCTCTATTTTCAAAATATATATATATATATATGAGTTCTATTTACTAATTTTCAACTATTGCTAACATGGGGGAATTTATCTTAATTGCAACGTTATAATGCTACGGGCTTGCTATGAGCTCATATAAAATATACACTACCTTGGTGTTCTGCTTGCCATTTGACATATTGGCAAAAATAATCAATTTTATAGAATCCAATATATACCTTGTTTATTCTACAGTCTAGCTTCTTTAATTCAACGTATGATAATGTTAAGAAGAACCTATCATCAAATAATTGCTTTAATTATTCAGTATTAATGTAAGGAAATGGTCAATTAAGATAATTAAAACAAAGTGACCACTATTAAGAGGCAGCCTTTTCCAGTGTGTATGGCTGTCCTTTAATTATACGGTCTAAAAAATTTAAAAAATAAAAAAAAAGCCAAACCGTGGCTATAGTGAACCAAAAGCTCTGTCCCATTGGGGTTCACTATAGAGGGGTTTTACTGTATTATCATAAGATATTAACTGGTCTCTACTGTATTTTACATTAATAAGAAATATTTCCAACTGAAAAAAAAAATCTATATCTGTTCTATATCTATATGTTCTATATCTATATCTGTTCTAAAAAAAAGTATCTGTTCTATATCTATATCTATATGTTCTATATCTATATCTGTTCTAAAAAAAAAAGTTTTTGATGGCAACAAGTTCAAATCAGAAAGAAAAATTTTTTTTTCAGTGTTAATAAGATGTTAGGTATAATAATAGTTCTGCTTCTTTTCCAATGTCCAATTTAAATAAATTTCACCATTTTATATAGGGTGAGAGGAGAACCACAAGTTCATACTTCTATGAGAGACCAGCCTGGTGGCCATAGAGGTTGGATTGGATCCGGGAAAGCCATGTTCAATTTTTAAAAGGTCGCAGTTGGTCATTAATTCGGTGATTTAGCTTCTTGTAATAGTTTACAAAAATCTCTCTATTTCTTCTAACTTATTTTTTAAATCTTTAACTTCCTTCTGATGGTCGAGAAAAATCTTGGCCTCAGATCTTATGGCTTTCTGAAGGGATTTTATATCAATGATAAGTTTGTCTTTGTTGCAATCATTGGTGGCCTCCGTCACAATGTCATAGATGCTAAGTCCAATGACAACTGCATTGAAGGCAATACCAACTCCCAGTCCTACCTTACTTGCTACATTCAGAACATTGGTCCCCCTTAACCCTAAATAAGTTGGTGGAATTGGTAGTGTACCCATCAATGCTGTTACCCTATTAAACAAAATGTGAGCATTATTTTCCAGCTTTTCATAAATCATTTTTATATATTTTACCAAAACTTTTACTGCTTTAGTATAACTACATTTGTATTCTACTGGTTTTTCTAATTTATCCTTGGAATCAGAACATTTGGTCTTGAAGTCAGCAATGTGAGCTTTTAAAGTACTGAATGCATTAAAATCTGAAAGTCCTATAGTGTTTTGCAAAACTTGGTCCGTTAGGCCAAGGCGATCAAAATACTCCAGAAGAGATTTATATTTTTCGTCAAAATCCAACATGATATCATTTAAAATTCTATTGTTTTCCAAATGTTTATCAAGGGTTTCATTAACTTTCTTAGCAATGTCTTTATCACTGCTGTGCTCAACTTGTGAAGAGATGATGTGAGTTGCCGCCCCTCCTACTCCAACACCCATTGCTACTCCACCTGCCACCAGTGCTGGAATTATTAAAGGAGGGAAAGCAAATGATGCAATTGCCGATCCAATTATGACGACTCCAGAGGTCAAGGTGACTGAGGAGCCAAAAATCTTGGCAATTTTCACATCTTTTTTTACTTTCAAACATCGGTTTATCAAATCATCAAGTGTGGTTTGGCAGATGGAAACATTGAGCTGCCAGGTATCTTCAAATTGTTCTAGGTAATGTTCCAGTATTTCAGAGAGTTTTACAAGCTTGGGGAACAGCTCCCCATGTAGATCATGTGAGGCAACTGTGGGACACACACCAACCACTTTAGGAGTACAACGAATGAGAATATATTGCCATGTAGAAAACATGGGAAAGAAAAATGTCAGAATGACAAGGCAATTTATCTAAAACATTCCCAAACCTTAGTCGCATAACAGCAAGAAAAAATAATAAAAACAACTAAAGGTTTTATTAAGACCTTTTGGTCTTATACAGATTATTATACAGAGAAAAGGGGGTATATACAGAAATAACAGTAATAGTAACAATATTCAGCAATGTTATTTACAATGTAACAGATAAGGGGAAGAAGAAATAGAGGGCTTGGCATTAACTTATATGCAAGCAATCAAGAGCAAGCAGTAACAGCAAGAAAATATTGTAGAGGCAGGACATCTCATCAACAGTGAAAGAAGCCTATTTCTTGTAGTACAAGTCATTAGGAAGGATTGCATGGGATTGTCAGGACTTAGATTGTTTTCAAGCTTGAAGGTGGTATAGTATAACCCCATTAATTCAACCAACAATAATTCAACCATGTTTTTTGTGTCCCGACCTCCAGCTTATCAAATGACCAACGTTAATTCAACCTTTTCTTAAATTTTGACAAAATTAGATAATTCTTGTTCAAATACAATTTTATTGCTTAAAATGTAATCATTCAGAATGCTGTGGCCTTGCGGAATATGCAGGTTAGCGCGTGTACACTGTGTCTAAAAGTGTTACAATGAGGTGGCGCAAATGCCAGCTCCGACGTCACCTTTAAAGTTGCGCTCAATTTTAGCTTCCTTGTGAATGATTTAGGTGCTGTTGGTTCAATAACCCAACCTAAGCAGCCGCTCATCACAGTGTAAACAATGTGGTGTCGTGGAGATCAATGTTCTCTTTTTGAAAGCACTTACAAAGGAGGAATGTATGCCTTTTGGAGCTTGATCAGTTAAAATGCATACTGTATAGGGGCTCTAACCTAAAGGCATCATCCAAAACATATTTATCTAAAATATCTTTTTTTTTTTAAACACAAGGTATTAAGACCAAAAAAATAAAGTGTGTGACGTTTCGGTAACAGCGTTGTTACCATCATCAGACAAATTACTGAATGAGAAAATATATCACAGCATATTTTAAATAGTTACTGTCATCAAGTATGTAAATAAGATAGCAGAGAGATAAGTAGAAGATAGTTTTCTAAGAACCCTAAAATATTATTCTTGATAAATGCCGAAACCCAGGATCGAACATGAGACCTTTAGATTTTCAGTCTAGCCCTCTCCCAACTGAGCTATTTCAGCTCAATAAATGCCGAAACCCAGGATCGAATGAGGGACATCTTAGAATAATATCTTAGGGTTCTTATGTATATACAGTATAACCTCGTTAATTCGACACACGCAAATTCGACACTCTACCTTAATTCGGCCATATTCTGATGTCCCGACCTCCAGCCTATCAAATAACAAAGCGTAATTCGACAGTATTGATAATACCACAGTTCCGATAGTTCGACCATTTTAAAATTCGAATTTCGACAGTTGAATGTTTTTTTTACATACAACTTTACCGCTAAACGGTATTACGCCGACGGGCGCCGATAGGATCATGCATGCGCAACTTTTGATTTCTGTTAGTTTAAGTTTCACTTTGCAGTGCCGTTGCGCAATGTCGCGAGTGTTATTGTTTTTTTTTACGTGGGAATTTAGGAATCGCGCGTTAATTAACCCTTAACTGGACGGGTTGGGTAGATTCTGCCCATGCATAAACTTAATATAGGAAAAAAATATTTTTTTCGTTTACCTAGAGCTACCAGCTTTCGTGTATTCTAATTTTACAGTGATACAAACATTTTCCATCCATCGTTTATAAATTTCAGTTTTGGGAGAGGCGTTAGATTTGCATGTTGGGGCGGATTCTGCCCAGCCCGTCCAGAAGTGTGAGAATTTTTCGTGTCAGTGTTAGCTCGTGGCTCATACTTGAGTCTCTATCTTTCGCTATTTTTAGTTTCCTTTTATAAAATAACACTTCTTTCTTTGGATAAGTATAATTATCAATCAAGTCAACAGAGAGAACTATCCCTGCCAACCCAAAATATAAATGTTTTAGAGATTAGTCGACCACACTTTGGAAGAAATATTCCAGCAGACAATTGATTCACTTCAGTAGAATTAGTTGATAAGTTGAAAGAACATGGCCTTACATATTTAGGAAGGATGAGAAAGAACAAACCTCAGATTCCACCACAATTTCAACCGCACCCTAATAGAGAATCAGGAACATCTATTTTTGGTTTCTCTGGAACAACCACTTTAGTCTCCTATGTCCCCCCCCCAAAAAAAAAAAGAAAGAAAACGGTAATCTGGTTGATAAAAAGGGTAAAAAAGAAAGGAGTAATTTTATTGTTGATCTTGGGAGAGCATTGACTCATGAACACCTGGCCACACGTAATCTCAATTTTCTCCCACTGGAATTACAGACGACAATTCAAAAAGAATGATGGTTCAAGTAAACCAAGTGAAACTACGATGCCACAACAATCTGATACTCCAAAAAGGTGCTAAAAATGTTCTTCAAAAAACGAGGTAAAAAAAATAAAAACCCTTTTCTCTGTATGTCAACTAAGCGTTTGCAAAAAAAAAAAATCTTATAAATTTGTGAAAACTGTAAATAGATTATATTCAGAATTTTTAAAAGTCAAAATCTGTAATATATGTAATAAATATTTTTTTGAATATTGATTTCAATCATTATATAGCGCTTATTTCATAAAGTTACATAAGTGGGTTGTATCTACCCAACCTGTCCAGTTACGTAAGAAAAAGCACCCGTCTAGTTAAGGATTAATAATATTATTTTCTTTTTAAATTTCAGCATTGAAATATTTAAGTTATTTTAAAATTTACAAATAATTTCCTTTCAAATAAATAAATCTTCATAAAATGTAGCCACAATGATTATGATAACATTTTATTTCAATATTCCATTTCCATATTATTATAAAAGATTTAAACACAAAATCAATAACACCTGCAGCAGCAGTGGATGTCTTTAATACAATAGTTATTTAAAACACATTCCAGAGGAAGAAAGACATGCATGTTTTTTTAAAATAGACCATCTGAAATATATTCTGAATAGGATTTCAGTGCAAAAACAGACATTTATAAAGGATTTTTTAAAAAGATCTTCATGATTATTTTTAAATATTATTTTTTAATTTTCTTTTTATTTTCCATATTTATTTCCTTTCAACTGCTATATTCTTCAATTAGAGTAAAATATTATTTGTAATTATTTTCTGTTTCAAAAATATGCAGTATTGCCATTTTGTTCCTGATACTAAAGTTAATCATGAAAATAAAATAAAAAAGGACACACACAATGGTTTCAATTAATATGATCAATTTATATTACAAAGCAATTTTTAAAAATATTATTTTAAAGAGTTAGATAATTAGCTAATCATCTAACCTTAATTCAACACTTCCTTTAATTCAACCGAAAGCTCTGATCCCTTGGGGTGTTGAATTAAAGAGGTTCGACTGTATGTGATATCCTGAGGGTCTCTCGCTGTGGTGTGAAATCCGAGAGGGTCAAATCTGTAGTAACCGAGTGGGGCAGTCAGGGTGTGGAGAGTTTTCCAGTACCTCTCTGCACCTTGGAAGACCTTTAACAGTTCTCACAGAGTACAGGCAGTCGTGGTTGAGGCAGAGTGGAAAGCTTGGAAATGTCCACACAAAAACGAAAGGACACAGTTGTACTAGGAAAGTTCCGTGAACAGATAAAAGTAAAGCTAGGAGCAAGATGGAGATTTGAGAAGAATCTTACTGGTCTACATGGTCGATGGTGCAGACCTTGGGGACATCTGACGAGGGCTTCCGCCGATGGTGAAGTGACTTTATTTCTGGCCCTGTTGAAGGCTTATATATCTTTGCAGAGAGGAAGTATTGGGTTTCAGCGGATGCAACAAGGGTGTGGATCGGAAGAAGTGTCATTGTACACTGGCAACGCCCTGACATCTTCTAGACCTCGTTCTTAAAGTTGTGGGACTTCTACATCTCGATCTCTGCTTTAGCTCAACTCTTAATCTATTACAGTTTTATTTATTTATCCTTAGTTTGTACAAAGTATATTACATATGATGATGTAATGACACCTGTCAATCATAAGTATAATTATTTACATATGTGTTCCTATTAAACATGACAATCTTATTATATACAATATGAGGTTGTCAGTTTAAATTATCATATATATAGACAGTAAAATCCCGCTAATACGAACTCCGGATATAGCGAACCTTCCCTTATGACGAATCTAAGGCGATTCCCGATTCGATTCCATTGAAAATACCATCGTTATAATGAACTTTGCGATTTTTAAAATAGCGAGCTACCCCTATAACAAACATATTTTCGGTCCCAAAATGAAATCTATTCAAGATACTATGCTTTAACAAACTTAAAATTCTAATAAATAAAAAAAATTAAAACAACAAAATTTTGAGTATGTTTCAGCTCGCGGATCGCGATTTCAAAAAAATAAATTTAGTGGCATTGTTTGTTTTCATTTACATTCTATTTTTGCTGTATGTTGTATAAATTTTTACATAGTGTCGCGTATATGGGCCTGAAAACACCTACAACCTCCGCCAATAGATGCCGCTTTCGCCTATTTCCGGTTTGGAAATAATGTGGGAATCGCCGACTGCTGTGGTCCTGTTTCCTGGGGCAAATGTTTGTAAATACACTTTTATATTGGCCCTAGGATGTAACAGAATGTAAATACTCGTTAATGGTCATTCTAGTTATATGTAATGTGTAGTAGCAATGACAATAAAATAGGAGGAGTGTTAGAAGTCTTGTTGCCAGTTGCTGATGTTACTCTCACCAACGCCACAGTCGCTACTCTTCTGGTAAGTCTCTCGTGTCCCCCCACCAGTGGTAAGGCCGAGAGATACTGTCAGAGGAAAGGAGTTCCACTCGAGTGGTGGTTCTCGGGGGTCCTTGGGTGGACTGCGGGGTAGAGCTGCAGAGGGGAAGCAACGGGAGCTCAGAGCAGGTGATAAAAGGCAGAAGAAGCACGTCGTCGCAAAGAACCGGAGGGGTCAAGCGTGACATTATTATACTTTTTAATTAAAAAGAATATCTTTGCAACCATCAAATTCGAAATAGAAAAAATGCAAATGGCTTCCAAAATAAAGAAAACAAAGGCATTCTAAAAACAAAAACGTTATTACTTTCAAAAATGCCATTTTCAAAACTTTCAAAGTGAAACAATGCAGGAAAATTTTCAAAAAATGTTAAAATAAGAAAATATAACTTTTCTATTATGAGAGATAAAATAGAAGGGGCTATTAAATTTGTTTACAAAGAGGAATCAACCTCAACTTTTGCCCGATCGTGTTAGGGGTAAAAAAAAGTATAAACAAACGGGGCCGAGATGCAACAAAATTTATTTTTTATGCCATGAACTATGGCGATTTTAAAGCCAGCAATGGTTTGCATGACAGGTTCAAAACAAAAGGAAATATAATCTAAAGAAGAATATGTGTAAACATGAAATAGAAGAAAAACACATTAACTTTATTTGAAAGGTGCAATGCTTGAAGAGTGCTTGAAAGCATCAAGGTATTAGAGTCATATTTTCAAGTAAACATTGTATTAATGTCATTTTATTCATCACTTAAAGATAATCATGAAACTTTCTGAAAAAATTAAATTAAGTCCAAATATATGGTAATTCACATTAATTAAAATATATTACAAAATTATTTTTATAAAATTATTATTTTAATTATAAGAAATGTAAACTATTTTTGACGCGTATGATTCTATTTAAAATAAATCAATTTTCTACTGCCCTAACTGCAATGATAAAATAATGGGAGGGCCTGGTTCTTCAGTGGTGAACTTTCTCAGTGATTTCACCAGTAATGCATCATATTTAGTTATCGTAGAAAATGGCCACTAGCAGTGAAAGTTTTGATGAAATCATCTGACTTATTTTAATTCAACCCTTACTTTAATTCAATTGAAACCTCTGATTCCTTGGGGTCTTGAATTAATATGGTTAGGCTATTTATTTTAATGAATTTTTGATTAGGGAATTATATACAGTTAAACCTGTCTAAAGCGCCCCCTCTAAATAGTGCCTCCCTCTCTATAACACCCGATTTCAAGTACAAAGTACGATGCAATTTACATTAAAAGTGACCTGTCTATAGCACCCTCTCTCTATAGCACCCTATTTTGGTGAGTCCCAAGCGGGGGCACTATAGACAGGTTTAACTGTATAT